CCTGGGAGCCGGGCCTGAAGACGGATTTGAGCAGGGAACCCTTCCTGGGACCTGTGCTGTGCAGCCCCTCATCGGATGGGCAGGGGTGCTGGGACATGCAGGTGTTAAGTGTATCACTCGAAAACCCGCGAGAACCCTGTGCACTGTGCCGTAATTAAGATGCAGCGCGGAGGAGCCCTGCTTCAGCGCTCACAGTGTAAAAGGAAAGGGAGCACCCAGAGTAAAGGAGGGTGAGGCTGATGGAGCTAGAAGTGAGTGCGCCACCGAGTCCTGTGCAGCAGAGCAGTTGGGAGCGTGGCCGCGGGGTGTGTGAGCATCAGCTTTTCTCCCAGAAGGGCAGACACCGCCCACCCCTCCAGGAGGGCTGAGGGTGGCAACGTGTGGCACCCCTCCAATCACAGAAAATTTTTGTTTTTGAGATGACTCCGTAGTCCAGGTTGACCTTGAACTCACCATGTAGCCCAGGCTGGGCTCAAAACTTGCTATCTTCCCGCCTCAGCCTCCCAGGTGCTCAGATTACAGGCCCAGGCCACCACGCTCGTCTTGTGTCTCTGCCTTTTCTGTCTACTTTTCTTTAAGCTGGCAAAGGCCCACATCTCCTTCATTGCTCACCTCAGGGGTTGCCTCTCCTGGGCAACCTTCTTATTCATGCTGATACTTCCTTTTCTGTTTACCCTATGTTTGGTGTCTGTCTCCTTCCCTCCCCTCCTCCCCTCCCCTCCCCTCCCCTCTTCTCTCTTCTTTCCTTTTCTTTCTCCTGTACTGGAATTTGAACCCAGGGCTTTCATACCGAGCTGCGTTCCCCAGCCCTTTTGAGACAGGGTCTCACTAAGTTACTAGGTTGCCTAGGCTGTGCTCAGATTTGCAATCCTCCTGCCTCAGCCTCCCAGAGTGCTGAGATTACAGCCATACACCACCATGCCGAGCTTGAGCTATACCTTTCTTGAAGCATCTGTTACTTCTTGCCTTCTAATTATTTCTGAATACAGGGGCCTCTCCCAACAGCTGGTGAGCCCCCTGAGGCAGGCTTGGTGCCTCCGTCTTTATGTCACCTGGGTGTCCCCTGAGGCACATCTGGTACCTGCTCACTGATGAAATTTTTAGGGCCTGTCTCAGTTTCTCTCCAGTCCTCCTCCATATTCTTTTCTGGCCCTTCCTTCTGCCGTCAGGACTTGCAGGGATGATAAAGGCAGTGGGTACTTGTGAACTGCGTTATATCTTCAGGCCACTTCATGCTCCGTGTCTTTGAGGACCCGTGCGACAGACCTGTGCGGACTGGAAAAGGCGTGGGTCTCGAGTGAGCAGAGTTGTGACGGGCCCTTGCAGGCAGATAATAACAGTTGCTCACATCCGCTGAGAGCTGGCCTTACCCAGCGTGGCTCTAAATGCTTTACAAGCACAGTGTAATTCTCACAGTTATCCTATGAAATAAGTGCCATTGTTAAGGCCCCAGCATTACAGGTGAGAAGAATTACAGCATTACAGTGAAACAGAGTAATGTTAAGATGTCTCTTCATCGCGCATTAAATTGTTCGTGCCTGTCCCTAAAAGCCATGTGTCCAATTGCAGAAGAAACCACCCATCAAGTAGTTCTTCTCCCGCTCTGCGGTGTGCTGGGAAGCTCAGCTTAGCCTCCAATACAGTTTTCTGGGGAGAGAACAGCAGCCTGTTAAGGTTCTGAGGTTCTTAGACCTTGACGAGCCTCTCAGATGCTGAGATCTCTGCTTGGGAGCCCCCTTCAGGACCTCTCGCAGCCGTCATGGATGGGCATCGTGGTTTCGGTGATGGGTTCGCGCCTCGGCGAGTCTCCCTCCCCGTGTAGCCCCTTCCTCCCTAAGCTTCCATTTCTTCTTCCTGCCCACTTCCTCCCCCGGCATCATGTTAGCGAGCTCTTGGCATCCGCCCCTCTTTCTCCATTGATGACCGGCATGAATGGTGGCTGTGTGACAGGCCCTCGTTGTCAGCGCCCACAGCAGCAGTCAGAACATTCTCTGTGGCCTGGGCCCCAAGACCCACCCAGGCAAGGCCAGCCAGGCAGACTCCCACTTCTGGGCTGTGGTGTTTTTCTTCTGTTGTTGGGCCTCCCCCACCCACCCCAGCCCCCAGCCCCAGATTGTTGACGAAGAAGCTGGAAGCTGATGGAAAAGAGAAGCCTGTGGTCCTGTTGCCAATGTCCTCCTCTTATATTCATTGTGGTTAGAGGAAAGTGGAACCTGGAATCAGGGTCTGCAGACAGTTGGTCATTGGAGAGTAGTCCCAGAGGTGAAGCCACATGCCTGTAATCCCAGCACTCTGGGAGGCTGAGGCAGGAGGATCACAAGTTCAAGGCCAGCAATACCCGTACTCAAAATTAAAAAATAAAAAGGGCTGGGGATGTAGTTCAGGGCAAAGGCCCTGGGTTCACCCCTTAGTACCATCAAAAAAAAGGAAAAAAAAAAAACAAAAAAAAAAACGCTATATATTTTGCAATAGTGGCAAATTTCACAGCCTGGTGGACTCTTCCCTCAACTAGTCTGAGGAGGAGCTGCTCCCATTGGTGGTCGGTCACGTTACTTTCTTTGTGGCCCATCATGCAGCACCAGCCAGCAGCTTTGTTCTGGCCACCAGTTGCTGTGTATTAGTTTTACAGTAGTGGGAGCTGCACCCCTCGCAGCAGCGACATCGCTCTCCTCCTCCTCCTCCTCCTCCTCCTCCTCCTTCTGAGATAGGGTGTCTCTAAGTCGCTGGGCGCTGTGCCCACCCTGCCAGTTGTTAGAGGCGATGTGTGTAGCTGTGAAGCCATGGCTCCCTGGCCCCGTCAGCTGTCTGGAACAGGCGCTCAGCGTCTCCCTCCTGGAGGTGATTCAGGGTGCTCGCTGCCTGTACCTTGCTCTCAGCCTGACCTTTGGGACGTGGGATGTACGGGTTGGGGGTGTGAGAGTTCCAAAGCGGTCAGAGGTAGAGGAGGCAGCAAAGTTCACGCGCTTGGCTTTTGCGGCTAAGCAGTCAGAAGCGAAGGCCCCACCCCCGACCCCTCTGCAGACCCGAGAGCAGGGCTGCACAGTGGCACCCTGAACTCTGCAGTGCGGAGTGGGTGGGGCCTGGAAAGAGCTGGGCTCTAGAGTACCAGGTGACCCTGTGCCGCTCATCCTGTTCCCTCTGCTTCTGAAGGAGCTTCGGGAAGGGGCCTGGGCTTCGCAGTGGTGATGAAGGAGACCAGGCCACGCAGACAGCAGCAGGAGAGGCACCAGGTGGGAAGGGGGGCTCTGTCTTTTGAGAGCGATGAGTTTGCCTCTGCCACATGGCAGGCACTGGGGGTCTTACCACTGTCACAGCATTAAAGGGGGTTTAAGGAGTGTGCAGTCCAATCCACTGTTTCAGGTGTGCAGGCCCAAAAGAGATACAGGCACCAGCCAGGAATATAGCTGAGTGGCACAGCACCTGCCTGGCAAGCGTGAGGTCCTGAGTTCGATTCCTAGTGTAAAAAAAAAAAAAAAAAAGGCAGCAGTGCCCAGGCTACACAGCTATAGAGCAGTACAGCTGGGACCAGAGCCTGATCTCTGGCTCTGACTCCAGGGTCAGAGTCTTCTCCCTGGACAAACCACTGTAGAGCTGTGGGGCCTTAGATTCCTTATCTGTAAAAATACTTGAGCTCAGCCAGACATAGTGGCGCATGCTTGTAATGCCAGCATTCTGGAAGCTGAAGCAGGAGGATCACCATGAGTTCAAGGCCAGCCTGTACTACAAAGCGAGATCCTGTCTAAAAAAAATAAAAATAAAAATATATATGTGTTTGAACCTGACCCTCTTGGTTCTAAGATTCTCTGATCTCATGAGTAGCTTTGGGCGCTGTGGGAAGGTGGGAAATGGTGTGATGGATCTATGCAGATGCAAGTGATAGAGAAAGGAGTTTGGCTGTTAGCTTTGGAACCCACCTTAGTGCAGGTGCCTACCCTGGCGATGTGGGTGAAAGTGTAATGGGACTGAGTTCGTGGGGGAAGCCCCAAGAAGCCCCAGGGTGTCCCAGTGCCGTGCTGACGTCAGGCCCTAGTTCCGCCGATTATTTATGCTGCTTTGGAGCAGAGGTTTTTGGGTGTAAAGTAGTCGCTGGCCTCTTGAGCCAGCAGTGTCAGATTTCTAGGATGTTAGCAAAGTCTCCAGAGACAGCACATGGCTCCTGGCGGTGACAAACTAGACCATTTCTTTTTCTGTAGATCAACTAAGGTTAAACTTAAACAAATACGAGCAGCTGGGAGGCTTTGGCAGGAGTGAGATGTGCATAGTCTTTAGAAAAAAAAAGTTGGAGAAGTAAAAGAAAAGTCTGTGCTCCCCGAGGAAGGAAGGATGAGGCGTGGAGCTCCGAGCGGCCCGCTGGAAGGAAGGAAGCAGTTACTTCTCTGCCCTTGTGTTTTGCACTTTCAGTTAAGGAATTCCAGAAGTTGCAGGTTGGGGATCATGACCTCTGTTTTTTTTCTGTCGCCTGCTTGCCAGAGGAAGGGCGGGCAGTGCTCTAAATAACACTTTGGCCTTTATGGAAATGCATCAGATGTTCCAAGAGCCAGGCTCGCCTGCCGCTGCTTGCTCCCTGGCGCCCGCCGCCGAGCTCCCTGGCTTTCCCTCTCTCCGTCCCTCTGTTTTGCTCCACATACCCGCACCCTGTCCTGCTCGGGTCCTTTGTAGGATGTAGTTAGTTAGCACTTCCCCTCGCCTTATATAGCAAGGGCTGGTCGTTAATGTTAACAGAACTCTTAATGGCGGGGAGGACTGCCAGCTAGCATTAATCAGGCCAGTGTTTGGAATTTCATAAATGCTCTGACTTGGGCACAAACTGAGCATTTAGAACAGTGTGAAACTGTTTTCTTCCTCCCCTCTCTTCTTCTCTCCCTCTGTCCCCTCCCCAGACTGTCCAGCTTCTCTCTCTTCCGTCTTTGAATTCTTCTGCTCTGCCGTATGCTCACTGCAGTGGAACTTTGTTGATTTTTGCCACGTTTAATTTTTTATTTCTCTCTGTCCACTCCAAGACCACAGGCAAAGCAGCGGCAGCCGGAGCCAGGACTCTGTGGAGGGGCAGGACGGGCAGGTCCCCGAGCAGTTCTCAGGTCTCCTCCACGGCTCCTCCCCGGTGTGCGAGGTGGGGCAGGACCCTTTCCAGCTGCTGTCTGCCACGGGCCAGAGCCATCCGGACGGGTCCCCGCAGCAGGGCGCCTGCCACGAAGCCAGCATGCAGCTGGAGGAGGCGGGTGTGCACACTCCCGGAGTCGCCCAGCCCAGCAGCCTGGACCAGAGCAAGAGAACAGGCTACCCAGCAGGCCTGCCCTCTGCCAACAGCCGATCGCACCCCGAAACTTTGACTCACACCGCGCCCCCGCACCCTGCTGGTGCCGAGGAAGAAGGAGAGCGGAGCGGGGCCAGAAGCCGAGCCCCTCCCACCAGCAAACCCAAAGCTGAGCTCAAACTCAGCCGCAGTCTGTCCAAGTCTGACTCTGATCTCCTGACCTGCTCACCCACGGAGGACGCCACGATGGGGAGCCGGAGCGAGTCTTTGTCCAACTGTAGCATCGGGAAGAAGAGGCTGGAGAAGTCGCCCTCCTTTGCCTCGGAGTGGGATGAGGTAAGCCTGCATGACGTCACTGAGAGAGAGAGGGGCTGGCTACAGCCCCCCACGGCGCCCCATTCCAGGGCCAGCATCTGTGGCGTTGACTTGGTTCCTCGGCCTGTTTGTGCCCATGGGGAGGGAGGGAAGCCCCAGGTAGCTGGGGTCCAGAGGACAGACCCACAGCTGATTAAGCAGAGTGGGGAGGCCCCAGCAGAGCAGGGCTGAGAGAGGGCCAGTTCCTAGAAATGACAGGCTGCTTGGAGCCATTCAGAGCCCATCTGCCCCAGGAGGGGAGCATGCACAGCCTGGAGATGCGGGGAAGGCCCGGGGTACTTCCTGTGCACGCTTTGGAAAGAAGGAATGCCCAGGAGTAGCACAGATTGAGGGCAGAGACACGGAGCGGGGCTGGGGAGAAGCTGCTGGAAGGGGTCGGAGGGGGCTTGTCTATTCCGGCACCGCCGTGATTATCCTTGCTGTGTCCCCTGGAAGGCCAAGTGCCTCTCCCCACAGACGTGCCTGCCCATCCCACATTCCCAGGCTGCCAAGTTGGAGGGCTGGGCCCTTGTGAAGGATTGGCAGCCTCACCACTGTTACAGAGTAGCTGGAAATGCGCGGCAGGCTGTCTCAGCGACCTGTGGCATTCTGACTGTGCAGAAGAATGCACTCCTGAAAGATGGGCAAACGCTGGTGTGTTAACCTGCTGCTCTCACCAGCCCCTTGCCAGGCACGCTGTCTGTTTCCCAGCAGTGGTCTCGGAGACGGAGCTAGCTCTCTGCAATGAGGGGTGCGCACAGCTGCTGCGTCCACTTGAGCATTCTGCAGGCCGCAGGCCCTACCCAGCCCGATGTGGGCTGCAGCTGTGAGGTTCTGCAGAGCACAGCCAGTCCCGTCCCGTCCCGTGGGGAACAGGGCGGGGACAACTCCTTCAAGCTGTTATCTCCAGGTGGGGGGAGGGTTGGGACCCTGCTTAGTCAGAGACAGGGGAACCTGCTTCGTAGCTTAGAAACAAAGTCTCAGGGAACCCATACCAGAGCCCTGGCCGCCAGTGAAGAATCTCAGAGTGAGGGGTTCTTGGGGCCCCAAGGGGAAACTGCACATAAGTATGTGTGTTTGTTGGAATGTATTTTTCAAAACAAAGTTTTAGTAATTTATAGTTAAATGTAGGCAGTTTAAAAGGAGAATGCAAGCTGGTGTGGTGGCACATGTCTGTGATCCCAGCTAGGAGGGAGGCAGAGGCAGGAGGGTCTCGAGTTCAAGACCAGCCTAGGCAATTTAGTGAGACCCAATCTCAAAAGGGGGCCGGGGTGTAGCTCAGTGGTAGAGTGCCTGCCTGACACACCCTGGATTTGCGCCCAGCTGCCAGCAAGGTGCAGGATGGAAATGAGCATGCGCTCTGCATTGGGAGGAGAGGGGAGTGGAAGGTAGGGGAGTGGAGAAGGGGCGGCCAGGGGCTTCAGGAAAGATGGATGTGGGCTTGGACACAGGACTGAAGAAATGATTACTGTTGTGATTCAGACCAGACGGGAACTCCCGGGACCAGGAGCACGCGGTGCAGCGCAGCAAACATGGGCAAGGCGCGGAGCCGGGCCAGCACGGTGCCCTTGGTTCCTGTGCAGGGCGGGGTGTGGAGAGGGGAGAAGAGACCCGGAGCGCAGCGAGAGGACCTTGAGCAGCGGGCCCAGTCGGTCTGACCTGCTGTCCGGGCAGCACCCCAGTCCCCGGATCCGGGAAGGCAGCTTCCTGCCCTAGAGCGGCGCCTTCTCCCGAGCGTGCCCGAGTGTGCGCGCTGCGGGCCAGTTGTGCTCAGTGAGTCTCCACAGTGGTCCGGCTGCGGGCCAGCCAGTCTGATGGGCCGGGTTTCTGTCTCTTCCTGGAGAGGAGACGAAACCACTGAGGCGAAGCCCACCTAGCTGAAGGGGACCTTGTGGCCTCATCAGCCAGTTTCCCTTTGCAGCGGTTTTTGGTTTTTTTCCAGTACTGGTTATCAAACACAGAGCCGCTCTACCGCTGAGCTACATCGCTCTTTCCATCTGTGTCGGAAACATCGGCAGGACCCTTTGTGTAACCTTTAGCTTTTCTTTTTTTTTTTTTTTTCTGTTGGGGATTGAACCCAGGGCCTGGGTGGTGCTAGGCACATGTGAGACATGGTATAGATGGCTTTTGTGGGTCTTTCTCTCTAAAGAGGGCCTTCACACGTGTCTCCTTCAGGGACCAGCCCTGAACTCAGCTTTGGCAGCTTCTCCTAGAACAGGCCTTGGCTAATGGCCACACCCCATCCTGGCCTGACCAGTGCCTGAAGGCTGCCTTGCCATATCCTGTGCTTGCTGATTTTTCCTCTTTAACCTTCGGTCCCCAGGAGGTGGGGAAAGCTGTGCCCAAGGAGCCCAGCTCAGCTCCTCACTGCAAGGCCTGGAGAGGGAGAGGAAGGCGGCCGTGGCGGCCACGATCCTAGCGCAGTGCGGTCCCGGTGAGTCTGGCAGGTGCTCGGAGAAGGCAGGGCCAGGGTCCTGCTTTAAGCATTCAGACAGGCTCCTTAAGCCTAAGTTGTCATCCTTATTTGTGAAACAGGCAGCCAGATCTGTTTGGGGGTGTTTACCAGTGAGAGACATGGAAGTACCTAGCACAGTCGCTGGAATACATGAGGTGTCAGCTAAATGGCAGCTGATAATACTCTGCCTGTGGCTGGAGCTTTGGAGAATGGGACCAAGGCATGCGGGGGCTTCTGACCTATGGGAAGAACTTATTGTTGGTTTTTTTGTTTGAGACAGGGTCTCACTATGGCCAGGCATGGTGGTGCACGCCTGTAATCCCAGTACTCGGGAGGCTGAAGCAAGAGGATCGTTGTGAGTTCGAGACCAGCCTGGGCTACAAAGTGAGAGCAAGGCCAGCCTGAACTGCCTATTGCATAGCAAGACCCTATCTCAAAAAGACCAAGGGAAAGAAAAAGGGTCTCACTATGTAGCCCAGGCTGGCTTTGAACTTGTAGTGCTCCTCCTGACTCAGCCTCTCCAGTGCTGGGATTACAGGCGTGCAACACCACACCTGGCTTAGAGAAGAGCACTTTGTAGTGGCTTGGGATTTGCTGGTGGCTGAGTGCCTGGGAAGTCCTATTTGGTCTTCCTTCATGACCCTGCCTTATCCAAGATGGAAGAGACCACCTAGCCAGGAAAATCAGACAGGCTGTGCCCCAGTTGGTCTCAGAAATTAATGTGCCCAAGAGGAAGAGAGAGTTTGGAGAGAAATGTGCAGCCCTTTCTACTGTTTATTTTCCAAGCATGCTCTTCTGCACAGCGGGAAGCATGGCTATTTGGTTGGTTGGTTGGGGCGATGGTCTCTAGTTGAGTATGCATGGTATGAATTTGAGACCTCAGAACACTGTCCTGGTTAAGTAAAGTAAACCTCGGAGAGCAGATTCATGTTTTCTATTGTTTTGGTAACAAAGAAGCAATAGAGCTTGCCTTTAGAGAAGCTCGGCCTAAGAGCTCTGCCTCCAGGCTCTAACAGGGCTTTGAGCACTTCATGTTGTCTTGATCCCTGGGGCACAGAAGAAATTACACTGAGAAACTGCATAAATGAACCTTTTTGTATAGATAAGGGGTGGGGGAAATCAGCTGCTGTCCTCTGTGCGTGGTACTTCTGGGCTTGTATTTGACACGTATCCAAGTTTGGAGTCTTAGTGTGTTTACTGATTTACATTTGCTTTTCTGACCTAAGCAGTGCACTTTGTGGATATCTTAACCGTGGCAGTGCTAGTAAGATCTGGACTCAGATCTCCACTGCCCCATGTGTGGCTTTCTCAGGTGGCAGATGGCTTGTTGTTTAAATGTCTCCATCCTGCAGGTGCTGTACCGGCTATTTTCACCTGCCTGCAGGCCGACTCCCTCCCCTGCCCTGCCTGCAACCTGCATGGTGAGGCGTGCAGGAGGACCATGTCCCTCCACTGAAGGCCACTTCTCCTGAGAGGGTCTCCCTACAGCTGTCCTGACCTGATTCTACAAGACAGCTCTGCCCTGTCCCCTCCCAGGTTGGGGCTCCCCCAGCACCAGCTCCTGTCCCTGTCACCCTCCTGCACCCTATGCAAAGCTGCCTCCATCAGAAGCTGGGTTCTTATGCCCCTTCAGATGCCCACTTGGAATGGGCCTGCCTTTTCCTCTGGGGATCCAGCAAGTTGGCAATATAATCAGCATTTTAGCTGATTATCAGAATCTCCTTAAATATATTTTCCTCCCAACTCCTGTACACTTAGACCCACCCAGTTATACATGCGCGCACCCACAGCACCAGCACTTAACATCTGAATGAAAGGCTTTGTGGCGCCCCTCAGTGCCTGTGCGGGACTGGTCCCAGGACCAGCCCTGCAGCGCCCAAGCCTGCAGGTACCCGAGTCCCGCAACATTGCTTATGAGCCGCACGCCCTCCTGTACACTTTAACTCAGCTCTAGATGCCTAGTGCAACAGAAATGGTACGGACATCACTGTCTTCTTGTATAGTTCAGGTAATGACAAGAAGTCAGTTCCAATAAAGATGTGATTTTTTTTTCCCCAAAATTCTTCAGTCAGCAGTTGGTTGAACCTGCAGATGGGGGACCCTCGGATATGGAGGGCTGACTGTAAGAAGAACAAAAATAACTTTCTGGTCAGGCTGTGGCTTGAGAGTACGGAATCTAGGGGGCTCAGCTGGGGCCCTCACACCTGCCTGTCAGTGGGCTTGAAGTTAATGAAAGGGAAGCCGCAGAAGGCCTCTTGTCTGCTTGGCATAGACATTTGAGTCATTTAAAACTTGGCTGAAGGCTTAAGTGATAAATTTGTTTTGTAATCAGCTTTCATAAATATTAAACAAGTGGGAGATGGGGGAAGCACAGGGACATGCTTTGTGTGCATTCTGTGCGAGCTGAGAAAGATTTCTGGTGGGGAGTGTCCATTTCGGGAACGTTCTGGCTTTGTGTGAAGCAGTAGCTGAGGGGACCCTTGGCTCTTGCGCCCCTTGTTGAGAGGTGAAGTGGCCGCTGCCGCAG